GACAGCTCAGATCCCCTGCCATGTGGGCCCCATCTTCACAGCATAAAAACTAGCATACCCCAGAGTCACCAACATGAAAAATAAAGCAAGGAGTAGTCAAGTTGCATCTAGAAGAGAAGAAGATACATCATTGAAATTACCAAGGGTAAGGGAAGGGCAAACAGCCCTTCCCCAACCTATGGTCCAGACCCCATGTCTGGTCGGATGAATGCCTACTTCCAGCGGAGGACCACTGGCTTCTCGGTGATCTGCCCCAGCCTGAAGTCTGTACCAGTCAATCAGAAGAGACCCGACGAGTGCTTTCTGTGCTCTGAAGTCATAGATATAGAAGTGTGTCTCTTCAATAACCTCAAGCCCAGCCACCTGACCATGTGTGTGGCCCACACTTGAGGATTCTCATTTCTTACATGGTGTTCATTCCGTCTTTATGTAAAGCCCCGAAGCACTTGTTCTATTTGCCAGGGAGGAAACTGAAACTGAGAAATGAGAAATACAGCCAGGCATGGAGGCACATGCCTATAACTCCAGCGCTCGGGAGCTGGAGACAAGCGAATGGGAAATTACAAGCCAGCCTGAACTTCCTAGCAAGACCCTGACTCAAAAAATAAATATTAATGAGAACCAAGATTGAAGGGATTTGGATAATGTCATGAAAATTATCTCAAACTTGGATATAAGAAAAAGATATTGCTCTAGGTCTATAGCTCAAAGTTGCACAAAGATAGTGAAGGGGACAATTTTGCCCCTGACACTCCAAGAGACTATATTGCAGGATCTAGAAACATTTATAGTATAGCAACTTAATCTGGAGTGGACACTACTGCCACCTACTGGTTGTAATCTAGGATTGCTACTAAAACTCAGCCGGGGCAACCCCACAGCAATGAGGTCAAAGGGTCACTGTTGAGAAATCCTCTAGGAGAGCGTGACCATACTTGACCTATTACCGACTATTAGTTGTGTCTCCAGCACAACTAATGTAAACATGTAGAACACTGTCTGAGGAGCTTCACCTTCTGACTCGGAAGCTAACACCTAGCAGTACAATGTGTGTGGAGTCTTCAGCAATAGGGTCTTACCATCAAGTTCTGACGGACAATCAGGAGCAATGACAATAGTCTGTATTGTTAGGGGGACTGTTTGGACCTCTCTTACTGTACTGGCTGGCTTTGTGTGTCATCTTGACACAAGCTGGAGTTATCACAGAGGAAGGAGCCTCGCTTGAGGAAATGACTCCGTGAGATCCAGCTGTAAGACGTTTTCTCAGTTAGTGATCAAGGGTGGGAGGACCCATTGTGTGTGGTGCCATCCCTGGACTGGTAGTCCTGGGTTCTATAAGAAGGCAAGCTGGGCAAGCCAGAGGAAGCAAACCAGTAAATAACATCCCTCCATGGCCTCTGCATCAGCTCCTGCCTCCAAGTTCCTGCCCTGTATGAGTTCCAGTCCTGACTTCCTTTGGTGATGAACAGCAAAAGTGTAAGCTGAATAAACCCTTTCCTCTCCAACTTGCTTCTTGGTCATAATGTTTTGTACAGAAATACAAATCCTGACTTAACCAACAACTTGTGGGGAGGTATCTTACACCTGGCTTGTTTTTCTTTTTGTGGTATTGGCAATCAAACCCAGAGCTTTGTGTACTAGTGAGCTATACCCCTAACCTTACACTCTCTTCATAAATACAGATATACACTGGATTTGGGGCCGTATGACCTTATATAACCTTAGTCACTTCTTTCAAGGTCCTGGGTACAAATACAGTTTTGGTCAGAAGATACTGGGGACTGGGATTTTCTGCAAGGAATTAGAGGCCCATTTCAGCCCTCTGTACCACTCTGATTCCTTGTTAACACCTGCTGGGCAGGTGGTCCTGAGTTGTACAAAAATCAGGGTATGGAAGCCATGTGGAGCATGCTAGTAAGCAGCACTCCCCCGTGTGCCCCCCACCCCCACCCCGACACCCCATGGTCTCTGCTTCAGTTCTGCTGAGTTCTTGCCCTAACTTCCCTTGTGCTTCTCACCTGCTGAAAGCTGTACTGTACAGATACAGCTGCTGAACCCACAAGCCATGCGTATTTCTATCACACCAGAGGGCTTCCTTGAGGGACAGCCGCTACATCTATGCCAACTCCTTAATCAACACAAGCCACCCTGCAAGGCTGTTATCTCAGAGCTGAGGACAGAGCTCAATGATAGAGCACTTGCCATACATGCTGAAGGTGGTGGCAAACACATTTAATCCCAGCACTTGAGAGGCAGAGGCAGATGGATCTCTGTGAGTCTGAAGCCAGCCTGGTCTACAGAGCAGGTTCCAGGCCAATCGGGACTGTATAGTGAGACCCTGTCTCAAAAACAAAACAAAAAAGCCAAAACAACAACAAAAACCACAAATAAATAACACTTTATTCCAGCCACATCACCCGCCTCTATCTTTGTGCCCCCCTCAGATAAATCTCCAAAAAGAATTTTGTTTTTGTAGAAATGAGAGCCCTCTCCCAAATGCTGAACCAGAGGGCCCCAAGGCACACGGCTGGAAGTCAGACCCAGCAATAAGTGCCAACCTCCTTCCTCCTGGCAGTCTCAAGTTTCATAGTTAGCAATAATTTATTTAAATTAGTGCTGTTTCTTACTTATTCTCAAAAAGACTCATATTGGTTAACTAATTCAAACACTATATTAATCAGTGGGGGTTGGTTGTTTGTTTAGTTTTTGGTTTTCTGATACAGGGTTTCTCTGTGTAGCGCTGGCTGTTCTGGAACTCGATCCAGACTAGACTGACCTTGAACTCAGAGAGATCTGCCTGACTCTGCCTCATGAGTGCTGGGATTAAAGGCATGAGCCGCCACCACCTGGCATGAATCAGTTCTGTGTTACGCTTATAGCAGTGTATCAAAGGCATGCCAGAGTTTGGATACTGGGTGCTATCAGTCTCTTGGGACACAGGGAGCTGTTAGCTCCTTGGTAAACAAAGATATGTCCTTGGCAGATGTTAGTTAGGGAGGAACAACCTTGAACCTCTCTTATCAATTATTGTAAGTAAGTGAGCAGGCTTACAGTCCTGGAAATGTGTAATATCCCTTCTGGACTGGAATAGTTCTCACTGGAACTTTCCATGCCTCTTCACCAGAGTGTTCCCCTCCCTGGTACTGGCTTCTACTGTTTGAATGCTTTTGTCAACTTCATCAACTCCTCTTGAGACCCTTAACACACACACACACACACACACACACACACACACACACACACACACACCACACACCCCAGTATTGGGAGATGCTGCCTTTGTATGGGTCTGGGTCATGAGGGCTCAACCCTTGCTATACACAGGACTTGTAGGAGGCCTTTCTGTTGTGTGAGAAACAGCATTCTTCTCTTCTCCTCCAGAGAATTCATTTCTGTTCTTTATAAAGTAACCAGCCTCAGGCAGTACATTATGACAGCACAAAACAGACCATGATACTGACTGGTAACGTTGCCCTCACTTTTTTCCAGAGTATTTGCTTCCATGGATAGGCACATGATTCCAGAGAACCAATAAGGGCTGCAATATTGAAACTAAGGAAGCCTCCTTTTCTAAGATAGTGGGTGTAAGAGCCCTTGGGTCAGAAATCAGGAGGCCTGGGTTCTAGTTCCCCTTCAATCAAAGGTGTGTCACTCAAAATGTTGGGACCTCCAATTCCACATTTGAAAATTAGCTACAGGTCAGAAAGAGAGAGAGTGGGGAGAGAGAGAGAGAGAGAGAGAGAGAGAGAGAAGGAGAGGGAGGAGGAGGAGGAGGAGGGGGAGGGAGGGGGAGGGAGAGGAAGAGGGATTGCAGTCACTACAAACCCCCCTTTCCTTTGCAGCTTTTTGTGGGAAATCAGAAGCAATAGTCTCCCAAGGCAGGTGGTACATGGAGGATGCTCTTAACGCCTATACTGTTCCTGACATTCAACCCGTCCTGCAACCCTGGAGGCAAAAAAGATTCCTCTGACACTGTCTTGACTCTTGAAGCTCAGAGTTCGCCACAGCGTCAGAGTGGCAACCCCAGCCAATGGACAATGCACAAACTCCTTCCCAAATAGACACAAAGGTCAGGAGATCAGCCAGTATCGTGAGGAACCTGTTGGGGCTATGAGGAGACCCAGTCACCAGTCCTGACTACTCCTCATCCAAGAGGCAGCTGGGCACGTCTTTATTACTATTGTTGTTTCAGAATCCTATACTTGTATACAAAATGTTTTCTGATCAAACCCACTGCCACTCCCAACTCCTACAGATCCACCCCACCCCTTCTCCCAATTTCATGTTTTTTTGTTTTGTTTTGTTTTGTTTTTTTTGACTAGGTCTCACTATAGTAGCTCTGGCTGTTCTGGAACTCACTATGTAGCTCAGGTTGGCCTCGAACTCCATAAACCTGCCTCTGCCTCCCTAGTGCTGGGATTAAAGGAGTACACCACTACCACTTAGCAACTTTTTAAAAAGACCCTGAGTCCACTTAGCGCTAACAGTGTATGCAACGGTGTAGAACCATCCACTAAGGAAGGACAACCTATCAGAGGCCACATCCCAGAAGAAAACTGACTCTTCCTCATCCTGTAGCAATCAGTAACCAATAGCTCCTCAGCTGAGCCTTGGAGCTACGGAAGCCCCTCCTCCATCCAGGTAGGTACTTCTATTGCCTAAGAGGTGCAGAATTTTCGATTATCAGGCAGTTGAAGCTGTTAGAACTAGGTTTTTAAAGCAAGGCTGGTTTGATCATCAGCATATCTTCAGAATCACCCACTGTCACTCTGTAAAATTGTTGTCAGTGAATAAACTCGCGGAGGTCAGTGTTTACACACTCGTGTTGCCTAAGGGATGCGTTGCGAGTTTGGCACAGAGCAGGATCTGGGTTCTGGTTAAATGAATGCCCAGGGTAGTAGTGCGCGCAGGAGCCCAGCCGCGGCGCTCGCAGGGAACGGCCACCAGGCGGCGCAGCCGAGTCCCCGCGCGGGGCAGAGCGGCCGCCGAGCGGGAGCAGAATGTGGGCGTTCGGACGTCGCGCAGCTACGGGCTTGCTGCCCCGGACGGGGTCCCGGGCCTCCGCCTGGGTCGGGAACCCGTGCGGGAGGGAACCGATCGGAACCTGCGGCCGCCGAGGCCTACACGTCACAGCCAACGCCGGCGCCATCCGCCACGCTGTGAGTATGCGCGCCGCCGGGCCGCACACCGGAGCGCAGGCCGCGCCCGTCCCTATGCCGGGGACGCGCAGCGCGCACGCGCCGGGCCGCACTGGCTGGACGCGCGCGGGGGGACAGGGCACGCGCGGTGTTTGCGCGGGCTAAGGTCCTTGTCGGTGAGGGGATGAGAAATCAAGGTTCCGTAATTAACACAGGATGCACAGCGCGTGCAGCAAGGCGTGTTTATTATTGTGTGCACCCCGCAGTTGCCTTTTTCGAGGCGTGGGACTAATGGGGTTGTGGAGTTGCTCCGAGCATGGCTTTTTGCTGTTTGTTTGTCTCACTCTGTATCCCTGGCTAGCCTAGGATTGGCTGTGTACTCCAAGGTGGCTTCAATCTTGTGATCCTCCAGCCTCCTCTCGAGTGCTGGAATCACAGGTGTAGCAGCAGGGCCCTAGACTCCAGCTTTCGGAAAATGAGGAGACCTCGGTTCCACATTCTGACTGCGCGGCGCTGGAGAGCCCTGTGGTCTTGGGAGACTCTAGCTGTCTGGGGGCAGGGCTTGGCTTTCTGTTCCGGGGAGATTAAAGGGTAACACCCACTTGGCGACTTTGGCGGGAAAGTTAAACTGTATTCGCAAAGGCCTTAGCACTTCAGATAAGTCTCGGTTTCTAGAAGATGCAAAGTACAGGATCTGCTACTCCATGACTTGCAAAGATAGCCCAAAGGATAGCAGTGGGATGAAGGAAGGCTTCCCGGAGGGGGTCGTGATAGATGCCAAAGAAGGGGGTTGAGGGAGCATTCCAGGAAGGGGAGAGCTATGGACAAAGGTGGAGTAGTCTGCGGGCTAGTATTGTCTGCAGGTTCAAATCCACCTTAGGATTCATGAGGTCCTGTCTTAAAAAAAAAATTAATTAATTTTAAAAATAGGGCTAGCCTTGTAGCTCAGCGGTGGGATAGTCACTTGGCGATCAAGAGGTTCTGGGTTCTTACCACTGAAAAAAGAAAGTTTAAAAAACAAACAGAAGTGGAGTGGTCAGAGAGAAACAGCTAGGATCTGAAGGGCAGGACCCGGAACCCCTGCTTTCTCAAATGGTTTCCCGGATGTTTACCGCACTGTTCTTCCCTTGCCTGGCTCCTGACAGCTGCGCTCCAGTTGCAACTGTGCACTTTGGAGTTCTGCATCTATGTGAGCCTGAGCAACTTCGTCTTTGCCATCTCTGTTTCCTCGCCTGTAAAATACAAATACAGTGCATTTAGGTGCTCAGGTTCTGTTCTCAGTGGCCCGCTACCGTTTACGGTCTCCAGTTGTCTCCCCTGATGCTCCTACAGTTGTTTTGAAAGCTGCAGACTGGTAAAATTCTCAAAGCCTGTGGAAGGCATTCCCAGCAGTTGTCAAACGAGGCTCCATTCTGCTGTCACGGAGTGAGCAAATGTTCAGTCTATTCAGTGAAATGCTTTTTCACGTTGATGTACCCGTTGGTGACTTTGTTGTTTGAAAGTGGTCCCCCAAGACTAGAGCCACAGTACGCATACTAAGACTGTCATGGCTGACAAAAGAAATATGTGTAAGAAATACTTCACTCCAGTGTGAGTTATAAGTGCTCTTGCTTCAAGTTCAAAATTGACAAATCAATAATATATATTAAATAATGTGTCTTTAAACAGACATGCATACCAAACAGGATTATACATCAACTATTTGATAGTTAGGACCGGAGACTTACAGGGACCAAACCTGTGCTGTCCCCCCCGGCCCCCCCCCCCACACAAGTGAACACAGCAACTATATAGGGCTACCCCCTCCTGAGGAGGAGGATGGAGTAGGGGCTTAGAGAGATGGCTCAGCATCTTGCTATTCTTACAGAGGACCTGGGTTTGATTCCCAGCAGAAGGCGGCTTCCAACCTTCTTGGTTTTTTTGTTTGTTTGTTTGTTTGTTTGTTTTTGAGACAGGGTTTCTCTGTATAGCCCTGGCTGTCCTGGAACTCACTCTGTAGACCAGGCTGGCCTGGAACTCAGAAATTCACCTGCCTCTGCCTCCCAAGTGCTGGGATTAAAGGCGTGTGCCACCACTGCCCAGCTGGCTTCCAATCTTCTATAACTCCTGTTCTAGGAGATCAGGTGCCCTCTTCTTTCACACACATGCTGTGTATGTCCATATACTCAGGCACACACACAAAATAAAAAATAATTACTTTTTAAAAGATGATCACTATGAAGTTCTTCCCTCATATCCCTGTGAAGGAAAAGGGTTCTGTGAGTCCATTCAGCTAAAGACAGAGCGGTGCCAAGCAGAGAGATACTACTCTCAGGCACGTGGTACCTGGAGCTGTGGTTATCAGGACTGCCCTCACTTCCTCAGAGTCCCCCCTCTTATACATGCTGCCTCCCTCAACCTCCATTCTCACTTCCAAGCCTGAGCCATCCGCCTCCTCTTTCCTGAGCTCACCACAGTCATGGCCTGCTCAAGAGCAGTAGCTATTGCTGGCCCTTTTCGTGGTAACTGAGGTAGAATTGCGGGATGGTAGATCTTTTATTAAAACTTCATGCCATGCCAGAGCAAAGTCATGGTGATCGCTTTATAGGCCCTGTGGCCACCTCAGCCTCACTCCATGGCCTCGCCCCACCCCACGCCTCACCCCATCCCACCCCCACACACCTGCCACCTCAGCTAAGGCTACACTACTTTTCCCTGACTCTCCACTCAATCTCACCTGGTCACCATCAACATGCCATTGCCCAGTGCCCGGCAGTTAGAGACTAAGAAAAATCAACAGGTCACACCCTGCTGACGGGCCAGCCCTTTCTTGACTTCAACAGAATTCTACCTCTTGCCGTTTTTTGATACTTTTTTTTTCTTTTAGTTAAATTCTGGGCTACTGCGATGTGCCCTTGTCTCTGGCAAACCACCAAATCTCCTAAACAGCTTGCAGCAGCACCACCCTAGGGTGATGTTCTGTCTGGTGCTATGTAGCCACGGCCACTTGAGGTACAGCCACCACAGCTGTCTTACTATTGCTGTGAAGAGACACCATGATCAAACATTTAATTGGGGCTAGCCTACAGTTCAGACGGTTAGTCCATTAGCATTATGGCGGGAAGCATGGTGGCACATAGGCAGACGCGGTGCTGGAGAGGTAGCTGAGAGAGATCAGCAGGCAGCAGGAAGAAATTGAGACACTGGGTCTCTGAAGCCTCAAAGCCCACCCCCAGTGACATACTTCCTCCAGCAAGGCCCCACCTACTCCAGTAAGGGCACACCTCCTAATAGTGTCACTCCCTGATGACCAAGCCTGCAAATACTTGAAGGAGCCATTCCTATTCAAATCACCACAACCAAGGACTAAATTTGCTTTTATCTCAATACATGTCTCATGATCATCCTATCAGATGGTCCAAGCTTAGCAGAAAGACAGGGAGGACCCATAGCAAAACATTAGGGGTCGAGGTGGGGGTCAGTCCCTCAGAACTGTACCTGAGGTGCTCTAATTGGTCACTCTTGAATATAGGAGGGCCAATCTATAAACCATGTACCGCTGGGTCAGAGTAGACTAAGACATGGTAATTAGTGTTTCTAACTTTGGCTTTTAGCATTCGAACCTCCACTACCCCGGTCGGATTCTGAACATCAAAAAGCAGAGAGTCTTCGTGGTGCATTTGAGGAACTCAGGGACTCTGAACAACCCAAGGTGAGATGGAAACACTTCCACCTCAGGCATGTCTCCCTCTTCCTCTTTCCTCATATGGAAACTATTTCTCCTTGGGAATAACCTTGAGTGACATCTTTCGCATCATTCAGCATCCGCCATGTTCCTTTAGGTGAATGGTGTTACTGTGTGAGTATCTCAGGCTTCCTTTAGTTCATTCCTATTGTTGGATATTTAGGGGGTTTCCCCCCACAGTTTTGTTATTTCCTCCAGCATCCTAGTTGAGAAACACCATACAGCTATAACAAATGTAATGCCTCTCCAGGCTGCCCAAGGTTTGTTGTCCAAGTTAGCTCAGCCTGCCTAGGTTCCATTTGGTAGGAAGAGTTGGAAGCAGTGAAGGGCTAAAACTGGCACTGATCCCTTACTCTGGTTCCCATGGACCACGCTCAGTTGCATAAGGAAGCTGGGAACAAAAGTTAGCAAGTGTCTTCAGGAAAACAGCAGTGGATTCCCTGTGGAATCAGTGCTGCCTCAGTTTACACCTTTACTACTTGATTATCTACAGGACCCCCTTTCACATGCAGTGGTGTCCCCGGCCCCAGAGATACCAACCGAAAGCACACAGGAGTTGCTGTATCCACTTTGAAGTCTAAGATGTCTTAGTGACATTCAGTACTCTAAGTTATAGAAACGCCATTGTGTCTGCCAGTCTCTTTCCCTGTCTGTCTGTCTCTCTCCATCTGTGTGTGGATCTGTCTCCCCCCCCCCCACCTTTCTCTCTCTCTCTCACCCTATGATAGCAAGGGGCAAGATAACCACAATAACAGTGCTCACTGAGAGAACAGCCTCACCGTAACCCTTGGCAGCAGTGGGTAGACAACCTGGGAGAGCTCTGTCCTGGCAGACTAGGAATCCCTGGCCAAGCCTAGGCTGAGACTCCTTGCCCTTCATCCTTTCAGATATAAGGAAGGCAGGCAGTGGGAAGCATGTTCTCCTTGGAGACAAGCAGGCATCAGAGCCCATTGTCGAATGACAACACTCTGTGCTTCCAAAGGGTGTTAGAAGAGTCCAGTGCATTATTTTAGATCAGACTCTTCTTTCTAATGGATTTCTCTCAAAAGAGCTAGGAGGCTCTTGACCTACTTACTTTTATCACAGTATACCAAACCCTTATCCAAATGTCTTCCTACTTGGAAGAATCTGGCTGCCTTATTCCTTTGCATACCTCCACGACCAGCTCTCTAAATGAAGGGAAAGTTCCCTGAGTTCATGTTCGGCAATATTTGTAATACACCTAGTTTCATTGGTATCTTAGTTAGGGTTCTATAGCTGTAAAGAGACACCATGACCATGGCAATGCTTCCAAAGGAAAACATTTAACTAGAGCTGGCTTTCACTTCGGAGGTTTGGTCCTACCCCACTCCTGTGACACCCTTCTCCAATGGGGCCACATCTCTAATAGTGTCACTTTTCTATGAGTCTAGGGGGCCATTTTCTTTCTTTTCTTTCTTTTTTGGTTTTTCGAGACAGGGTTTCTCTGTGTAGACCTGGCTGTCCTGACCAGGCTGGCCTCGAACTCAGAAATCTGCCTGCCTCTGGCTCCCAAGTGCTGGGATTAAAGGTGTGCGCCACCACTGCCTGGCCGGGCCATTTTCATTCAAACCACCACAGTTGGTGCAAGAGTCAAGTGCTCCCTGCCTCACCACACACACACACACACACACACACACACACACACACACACACACACACACCTTCTTAGCTTAACAGAAGCCTTTGGTGTTCTAAGCCTTCAATTCTCCCATTGACTCTTCCAACTTTAAGCAACTGATCCATCGAGTCCGTTCCATCTCCTTATAAACAGGCTACTTGTCTCCTGGCTCACCATTTCTGTGGTGAGCTTACTGTGCAAGCCTGGCAGCTTGCGTTTGCTCTCCGGGCACATGGAGAGGTGGAAGGAGAGAACAGTTCCACACAGTTGTTCTCTACCTCTACATGCAAGCCACATGCACACGCAGATGCTAATAAGTAATGAAAAAAAAAAAAAGACTGTTCCAACTGTCTTTAAGAGTTCCTCAAGACACCCCAACCCACTCTTCATTTTCACTCTCTCCATTCAGTCTCAAAATGTCCATCACAGCCTATCAGATCAACCACTGTATTTAGAGAGCAGCTCCTACCATTCTGATCAGTCCCATAGTCTGTCCTTACTGTGCCCTAGCAAGAGGATGGGCTGGGCAAAGGATGGGTCAGATGCCGTTAGCACCCAGCAGCCACTGGTGTCTTACTGTAGGTCCCTCCTCCTTGGGTAATGGAGCTGTCTAGTGAACATCTCATAACTATGTACCCCATCACTGGGCACAAAAGCCCACAGAAGGAAGACTGTTACTGCAGTATATTCTTTCGTCCTGTTGTTGGGGATGGAACCCGGGCCCTTATACTTGATACATTTGTATCTAGCTCTGAGACACTTCCAGTACAGTCAGCAAGCAGGAGCAGGAAGTTATTAGCCTGCACCGTAGAGCAACAGCCTGTCTCAAAAAGAAAAGAAAATGTTTAATTAAAAATAAAACTTGAGCCAGGCAGTGGTGGCGCATGCCTTTAATCCCAGCACTTGGGAGGCAGAGGCAGGCGGATTTCTGAGTTCGAGGACAGCCTGGTCTACAGAGTGAGTTCCAGGACAGCCAGGACTACACAGAGAAACCCTGTCTCGAAAAACCAAAAATAAAAAATAAAAAAAAATAAAACTTGGCAAACAGTATCTATACAGAAATGTTCCATAGGGTTTCAGCTGCATAATTTTCCCAAAACTGAATTGCAAGAGGAAGAGAACACACTGTGAAGTCAGCTCCAGCCCAAGAAATAGACTACCAAGGACTAGAGAGATGGCTCAGTAGTTAAAAGCATTTGCAGTTCTTGCAGAAGACTCTGATTCTGTTGCTAGAACCCACAGGGGAGCTCGCGTCATCCATGATCCAATTCCATCTGACTCCCTCTTCTGGCCTCTGCAGGCACCAGGCAGACATGTGCATGTATACACATGCGAGCAAACACCTATACACATGCTGTAAAATAAATAAATAAATTTCAAATTAGAAAAAAAAGAGAGACTGTCAGTAGCCTGGGCAAGCACCCTGCTCCCTCCGAGTCTAATATTAACCCTTTAGTATGCTGCCATTCTAATTTATAGCTGCTTGAATTGGCTTGCGTGACGTTTACACACACTCTGTATGGCTGAGTATCAATATGTCTGTATGCGGCTCATCCCATCACTGAGGTACGTGTGACATCCCTTCACACTGCTCTCAGAGCCTTAGACGATTCTATCTTGTCAGGTGGTGGTCCATAGCTGGAGCTCAGTGCAATTCTTCTGTCCTGTTGTCTTTATACCTGGGCATTTTCCAGTTTGGTGCTATGAGATAGCTTCAATCCAACCATGCTAAAATAATGCGTGTCCTGTAGTGACCCTAGGAGTTTATTGCTGTTGTGAGTACTCCCGAGAGTGGATCACGGGAAAGACCACAGCCTATGAGCATGTTCAACTTTGGTGCCTGTGGCACAGTGGTTTTCCAAAGTGATTGATCTCTGCCTTGCCTGTCAGCAGTATCAGAAAGCTCCGCTTGCCCCTACTCCTGTGCCTTTTATAACATATCTCGTTTTAAAGTCTTTTTAAAATATTAACAAAGTTAATCATCTTTCCACACGCTCGCTGGCCATGTGGCCATCTCTTATGTAATCTGTACACATATTTTACCCATTTTTCTGTTGGCTATTCTTCTTTTTATTGATTTTATCCTGGATTAGTCCATCTCCAGATATATGTAATACAAACATTTCCTCCCACTTTGTGTCTTGACCAACAAAAATTTAGTAACAAAAGCAATGAAGACAGCCTCAGTGTCCAGCAAGAGTGGATGTGTGAAATAAAGAAAATATAGAAATGAAATATAGAAATGAACTAGACACCGTGGTATAGTACACACCTGTAATCACAGATGCTTGGAAAACTGAGGCAGGAAGATCGTAAATCCAAAGCCAATCTGAGCTACCTAGGAAGAAGACCTTGTCTCAGAGAAAAAAACCAAACAAGGTACTTCATTCTTTTTTTGTTTGTTTGTCTGTTTGTTTTTGTTTTTTGTTTTTTGAGACAGGATTTCTGTGTGTAGCCCTGGCTGTCCTGGAACTCACTCTGTAGACCAGGCTGACCTCGAACTCAGAAATCCTCCTGCCTCTGCCTCCCAAGTGCTGGGATTAAAGGTGTGCGCCACCACTGCCCAGTCTTCATTCTTATATTTTTAAAATTTTAAAGGAGTCTAGAAGAACACAGAAAAGACTTGACAGATGCAGTTGCCTCTGGCGATGGTAGTCATTTGGAAGAGGCTACTTTTCTCTATAACTCCTTATGCAATTAAAGTTTTTGCTCTGTACATGCTAGATATTTTCCATCAATTTAAAAATATAAATGAGGGGCTGGAGAGATGGCTTAGTGGTTCAGATCACTGACTGCTCTGCCAGAGGACCCAGGTTCAATTCCCAGCACCCTGTAGCAGCTAATGGCTGTCTGAAACTCCAAGTCCAGGGGCCCTGAAACCCTCACACAGACATACATGCAGGCAAAACTCCATGCACATAAAATAAAAATAAGTCATTTTAAAACCAGTAAAATTAATCATCATTTAAGAACTAAATAAAAATATAAATGAAAGGTGTGTGAATGAGAAAAGCTATGCACGGTAGCTCTCACGGATGTGACGTCAACAGTCCTGAGGCTGAGGCAAGCCAGAGTGCTTGCTGTGCGTTTGAAGCCTCTCAGGACTACCTAGCCAGACCCTGCCTCAAGACAAAGGAAAGGTAAAGGCAAATGCACCATCTTGGTACTAACACCTTGGAGAATCAGGGTGACTGGCAGAACAGAGCTGTCGTGAACCCTAGTGCTTGAGTCTCACCCACACTCCATGTTGCTAGCTGGTTACTTCTGCTGGAAGGCATTTGTTTTTCAGTTTGTATGTATTTATTATGACTGTGCAGTTGGTGACGGTGTTCTGGTGGGTTTCTTTCCCCCTGCAGCTCTCTAGATGAGACAGCTTATGAAAGACTCGCAGAAGAGACACTGGACGCCCTGGCAGAGTTCTTTGAAGACCTTGCAGACAAGCCCTATACCCTGGAGGACTATGATGTCTCTTTTGGGGTACCTCTTGGCTTTGTTGTTTTCTGTTTTCTCCTTAAAAACTGTAACTTAGGCTGGAGATGTAGTTCGGTTGGTAGGGTACTGGCCTGGCATACACAAAACCTTGGGTTCAATCCGCAGCACCACATACAGGTTAATCATAGTAGGCACATCACTGTAATCCTAGTACTCTGGAGGCAGAGGCAGGAGGATTAGATATTCAAGGTCATCTTCAGCAACATAGAAAGGTTGAAGGGAGCCCAGACTACAGAAGAACCTGCCTAAAAAAAAAAAAAAAACCTGGTGATGCACACCTTTAACCTAGCACTCAAGAGGCAGAGCAGGCATATCTCTGTGAGTTTGAGGCGGGCCTGGTCTACAGAGCCAGTTCCAGGGCATCCAGAGAAACCATATCTTGGTGGGGCAGGGGGAGGACCTCACATACACACAGTTAACTGTAACTTACTAAAATAAAGACTTCCCTTTAGGCAGGCATGGTGTCACACAGCTGTAACCCTACACTCCAGAGTAGATGCAGGAGGATCACTGAATGTTCAGGGCTAGCTTGGTCTTTGTAGTGAGGTCCAGACCAACCAGGCTACACAGTGATATCCTGCCTCAAAGAAAGGGGGGACTGGTGGAAGGCTCAGTGAGTAAAGCTGGTGCCTCTAAACCTGATGACCTCACCTTCAATCCTCACCCCACGGGCAGGTGGAAGGAGAAAAGGTCTCCATGCCATCCATGGACGTGGTCTCTCCCTCTTTCCCTCCCTCCCTCCCTCCTTCCCTCCCTCC